CAGCAGCTAAGAGCTATGTGGTCAAAGGAGGAGGGTGCCCAGGTGTTGGGGCACCTGCTTCCTCATCCCACCACAGGCCCCTGGCAACGGGACGGAGCACAGGGAGCCATCCACACTCCCCCTCGAGTCTCCCTGATGGCCAGTTGAACCTGATGGACAATTATTGTAAAATGGCTGGACACAAACAGGGATCAGCCTGTGACCTGAGCAGGAAGGCACAGTCTCTGAATTCTTGGGAAGAACCATGGCGACCACTGGGGACTTGCTTGGGTTCATTAAAATATGTCATGCTAGACACATTGCATTTTTAAAAACCAGTTAATTATTATTTAATAAATATTTAGTGAGCATGCCTACGTGTCAAGAATTAAGAATTCTTGCTACCCACTAAGGATATAGCTGTGAATGAGACAGAAAGTTTCCTGGCTTTGTGGGGGCTAAAATTCTAGCTGTGGGGGCTGTGAAGGTTGGGAGGAGAAGACAGGCAGTAAACATAAATGCACAAGGTAATGACGGGGTAGTGTGTTTTCTGCAGCCAGGTGGCTGCTTTAGTTGGGATGTCAGGGCAGGCCTTTCTTGGGAGGTGGCATTTGGAGGACAAGAAAGCACCACAGCCTGGTAGATCGAGACAGCATCACATTGCGGCATTTCTAAATTGTAGCAAAGCCTTGGGAGAAAGCTCTTTCTATAATATATACTAAAACGTGTTATGTGCTTATTCTGTGGCAGATGCCGTGCTACAAACTCAGGAGGCATTTTATTGGATCCTCACAAGAACCCAACAAAGAGTGCATTTTCTCTTATTTGCAGATGAAGATTTTGAGGCTCAGAGAGATTGTGACTTGCTCAAGGTGAGAAAGAGGTATGGAGTGGGGACTGGATATCCCGCCTGGGCTTGTCATTCTGATGCCTATGACTACTCAGGCCACCTTTGACAACATGATGCAGAAATGTGGGGTTGACAATTAGTAACTTGTTAAATGACTATTTTCAAAGACTGATGACTAAGCAAGCACCCTCGGGAGAGAGATCACTGTGGTGGAGGCACAGGTTTGATCTACAACCCTGCCATGTCCATTGGTGTCAATGATCTTAACGAGAGCTCAAGTGGCCACAGTCCAGCCTCCTCTCCAACTACCCCTGACCTTGCACCAGCTATGTCAAGTTACTGGCAATTCCCCAAATACACCATGTGTTTCAAGCTTTCCTGCCTTTACATAGGATACCTCCCTTGTCTGGAATGACCCCCGCTCCTTATGACTGAGATGATGCCTACTTCTCCTTTAAGAATCAGTTGAAATGTCACCTCCTCCATGAAGTCTTCCCTGAATTCCTCCAAACTGATGTTGCAGATCTTTTAGTTTCCAATACACCATGCACACATATGGCACACACAGCTGTTGCCTTCTCAACAGCCATCACACGCTTGTTCTTCGCTAATAGAGGAACAATTTGATCAAGTGGCCATGTGCTTGAAGCTGCAAGCATCCTGACTGATATAGCTGAGCTCCGCCTTCGTGGGACATTATCACTTTGGGTCTGTTTCCTTGTCCCGTTCTCCACTATGGAAACCCCTCGAGGGCACTCGCTCTTCTTTGCAAAGGGTCTCCAATGTTGAACACAAAATCTATGGGTGCCTTGCTCAGTGAATCAATGAAAGAATGGATGGAATGAAGGAAGAAAGGAAGGAAGGAAGGAAGGAAGGAAGGAAGGGAGGAAGGAAGGAAGGAAGGATGGAAGGAAGGAAGGAAGGAAGGAAGAAAGAATAAGCCAGTATGTGACATGAAGTTAGGAAGCAATGTAAATAATTGGGAGCCACAGAGAAAGGAGCAGTTGGGGTCAAAAGCCGAAAACAGAGATGGAATTGAAGTGGGGTCAGACTGTTCTGATCCCTACCTAGTTCCAGACTTGCAGGGGAGGTAGGAGGGAGTGCACACCTCAGCAGTAACTGGGCATGTGTCAGCACCATCATGGAATCACCATGAAAGACACCGTAATATTAGGCTATCTTCTCACAATGTCTTCTGGGATATAGACAGAGACAATATGCAAATGCCTATCAAACAGTCTCAGCTATGTAGAGAGAAGAGCTGTGAGGCAGAGTTGGACTGGGGTTGGGGGTGACTGTTATCAGGCCTAGTTCAGGGGGCCTTCTCATACCTTATTATCTGTCACCATTGCTACAGAGGAGGGCCTCGTCCCGACTCAAATACTCCTGGCCACTCGAACACTGCAGGCCCCAGCTGCCTGTCCCAAGTCCTTCTCAACTACTTCCTGGATTCCTTTATATGCCTTCTTTCTCAACATCTCTCCCCAGAGTCAGCACGTGCTCCTATCTGTCTCCACTCAGAAGCCGTGTGCTGTACCCCTGGAGGGCTTTGCAAAGCAGGTGCAGTGTGGCATCAGGCACAGAAATGGCACAGATGCCCTGCAGCCTTTTCTTCTCTTTCCTCAAGACAACTCTCCTCCCTGGTGGCAGCTACTTCAACTCCTCGATTGGAGTCCTCTGTACCAAGTGGCAGCTGCAGAGCAGTGCCAGTCCTCCCAGAGGAGCTGGTCTTGAGTCCCCCTGGGCGCTACTTGCTGTGAGCCTGAGGCATTCATCCACTTTTGGGCCTCAAGAGCTTCATCTGTAAAATGGGCCCATGAAGGCACCCACTACCTATTGTGAGTTTGAAGTGAGGCAGTGGGCATGAGAGCCAGGACCAGCTTCATTGGCATGAGACCTGTGCAAGGCACAGGGCCCTGTGTTCAGAAGGGCTCTACACTTGGTTTAATGTTCTGCTCTTGTCTCTTGCAATTCTTAATAATTCTTGAAGAAGGGGTCCACGTTTTCATTTTGCACTGGGCTCTGCAAGTTGTGTAGCTGGTCCTGAGGGCTTTGAAAATCCAAATGCGCTGTAAAAATTAGCAGTAAATTATTGTTGTTGATAATAATAATAGAATACATACATTCACATTCTGAGAAGGACGAGTAATGGGGGATTTTCTGCAAGCCAGGAATGCTGGGACAGCACAGGATGTGTTTCTGACTCCCTGTGCCCTCTAATTCCAGAGCTCCAAACCTTCATCCCAAGGGAGTTGACTGATCTCATTTTCGTGCTTGGCCTGACTAGCTGTGCGCACGAAAGCAAGTCCCTTTCCTCTCTGGGTGCCACTTGACTGACCTTCGTAAACCTGAACTCGGACTGGTCCCTAGGCTAATCCTCTCCTTGCCAACCCGCACCTGTTGAAAGACTCATCTGAGCTTTGCCAAGCAGCTCTGCCCCTAGTGGGAATCAGAGGCATGAAACTCCTTTTTCAGGAAGACAGGGTTAGAGCCACGCCACCACCACCTGTTTCTGCAGCCTCTCTGCTGGTCCTCAACCTCCAGAAGCGTCTTCGTAGCCAGCCTTGGGTGAGGACAGGTCCCACTGAAGCACCTGGCAGGACAGGGATGACACTGTGACTTGGGAATTTCTGAGGAGCAGGGCTGGGGCGTGGAGGGGGTGTCCTTAGGGCTGGATCCATCTTTAAAGAAAGGGATTGTGTATAGCGGTGTGGTTGTATGCCTGTGTGTCTTGTATCAGCACTTGTCTGCCTTAGTGTGTGTGTGTGTGTGTGTGTGTGTGTGCGCGTGCGCGCGCGCGCGTTTGTGCATGTGTGTTTGCAAGTGCACATGCACCCATGCCTGTGGGCCATGCCCAGTATGACTCTCTATATGAGTCTGTCTGTTAGTGGACTCTGATATGTGACACTGCTTCTGTGGGCGACTATATCGAGGCATGGGTCTGTCACTGTGTGTTGGTGCAGAGGAGTGTAGTAGCTGGTGGCAGAGCCCTGAGTGTGTAGGCGTGGGAGCCAGTGTCACCGTCTTTGTTTGTGGGGTAGTGATACCATGTGTGACTATCTCAGAAGTGTGTGTGTGTATAAGGACATAGGTGTCAGTGTCTAGCTCTGCACGGGACAGTAATCCAAGTGTGTTTGACTTTGCGTGTTGGTATCAGAGTGCTACAAACTGTGTGGCAGTGTGCATATGTGTGCCTGTCACAGTGTCCCAGGTTGTTTCTGAGTGAGGGGGACAGAGCCCAGTGTGTGCAAGAGTGTGGGCGTCGGTGTGTCTGTGAAGCAGCGACTCAGTGTGTTTGTATCAGACAGTGTGAGTCTGTCCCTGAGTGAGTGTGGTGGTGTGCTCCCCTGTGTGTCAATGCCCAGTGTTTGTGTCTACATGTGTCTGGGTGTGAGCACCCATGCATTCTCCTGGTGTGTATTACAGCTAGTGAGGCTGTGAGTGTGCGCGTATGAGTGTGTGTATGAGAGTGGATGTCAGCGTCCTTGCCCGGCGGCGAGTGACTGCACGCAGTGCGCTGGTCTGGAGGGCCAGGGCAGGGTGTGGGTCCCCGCTCCGCAAGCCGTGACCCCTCCCTCGGGCGGCGGCCGGGCGGCGGCGCGGGCGCCTTTAGGACCCGGCGGCGGCCGGCCGCTGTCCTCGGGCCGCGCGAGTGAGCATGTGCAGAGCCCGGCGCCCGCTCGCCCGCCCGCCCGCCCGCTGCCGGCCGCCCGCTCTGCACCCGCTCTGCGCCCGCTCGCTCTGCTGCCTCGGCTCAGCCCGGACGTCCGCAGCTCCGGGGAGCCCGGCGGCGGCGTTCTGTGCCCGGGCCGCGTCGGGCCGCTCTCCGCGGGCCGCCCAGGGGCGTGAGGGCGCCAGGGGCGCTCAGCTCCGGGCACTGCGGGGCTGCGGGCTTGGCGCCCGGGGGAGGCGGGCGCGTGGCCGCCGGAGCGGGCGCCCCAGCCGGCCGTCATCGCAGGTGAGTCCTGCCCCCCAGGTACCTCAACCGGGACCTGCGCGCGGGCTGCGGGCAGGGTTTTCCCCGGCCGGCCGCGGGCAAACAAGTTTGTGTAGACGCGGCCGGGAGTGCCGCGGGGCTGCACCTGCCCTGGCTTCCGGGCGGGCTGGCGGGGGGCGCCTTTTAGGGGTGCAAGGAGTGTGAGTGTGTGCGCGTGGCGGGGAGCGCTCTGGAATGGTTGGGCTGGGGCGCGGTGCGCAAGGCAGTTGCCGAAGCTGAATCCCACTCCAGGAATCCTGAGAGACCGTCCGTTTCCCCAGAGGGAGCCGCGGATCGGGTCCCGGGGATGGGGGCGAGAATACGATTTGGGGTGCGCACTGCCTCTCCTAGGAGGAGACGTTTACCCAGCAGCAGTGCCTTCTCGTTCCGCTACCAAGCCAGGCTTCCGGTCAGCGGAGGATTTCCCCCGGCTCTTGGTGAACTTGAACAGAGGCAGAGGCAAAACAGAAACGTATGTATTTTGTCTGGAAATCCACCCCGAGTAGAGCTTTGCATCTTCCCAGGTGTGGACGGAAGCTCAGGACTGGAGGCTGCTAATTGCGTTTTTCTTTTGTAGCGAGACGCCCCCGGGAGTCCCTGACTCTGGGTAACCTCGCGGTTGTCTTTTCCTGAGCATGTGTCCTCGGAAGATGCCTGCTCGGTTCTGGCTTGCTCCTGGGAAGGTGGGGACAGAAAGGGGACCTATGTTCCCTCGCTGAGCCTTGGGAAGGCTGGATGTAAGGGTTCCAGCCCCAGCAGCCCTGCCCTGGGATCCAGCTGCTGCCCACACGCACCCGGTCCCCAGCTGCTCCCAAGATGGACAAACTCGGAATTCCACTGCACTTTTCTAACATTAGATAGCATCGTCCCTCATGCGGTCCCTCTTGTCACTGGAAGCACTTGGGTCGTCCCAGGTTGGGACTCACTCCCGGGGCTGGGATCAGTAGATGGGGGCCTTTTCTTTTCTTCTCTGAATTGCCTAAGTTATCAAGCACAGGAAATAAGAGCTGGTGGCGAGTGGAACAGAAGTGATGGAAAGCTGGCTGGTCCTGCCCTGTCTGTGGCAGCCCCTGCCTGATGCTTGCAGGTGCTGGAGAGAGGACAAGGGGGAGACTCTCTCAAGTATGCCTCTCATGGACACTTAGCTTGGCCCTCAGAAGTCCTGGGGAGAAGATGCATCCATGGGCCACCAGAGCCCAAGGGTTCTATGAGGAGCAGCTGTGTTGGTCTCCAGGAGGGTGTGTTTGTCTCTCAAGCACACTCGCTCAAGGAAGCTTAGTGAGCAGGGTAGCTGGGCTGGTGTGCTGGTGCGCTGAACCTGGCAGCTTCATCTTCCCCAGAGGAACCCTCTGGTCCTTACCGGCGGCTGCATCCTCCTATCCTTAACAGGACCATTTCCACAGCTCCTCGGGAAGGAAGAATGACTTATTTGGGGTTTGCAGTGGGCGTTAGAGACCTGTGGGGTGCTGTTCTGTGACCTGCAGTGTGTCTGACTAGAAGTGAAAAGAAGCCTGGAGCAGGCAGGCCAGACCACCGTCCTTGGCCTCCTGTCTGCCTAACGAGGCAGAAGTGGATATTTTGGGCCACCAGTTGGTTGGCTGCTAAAGCCTGAGCCTCCAGCCGGGCCAGCTAAGGCCTAGCACTGGAGAGTGAGCTGCAGAGATGGTTCCCTGTAGAGTCGCCTGAGGAGGCTCCAGGCCAGATTAAATCATGTCTGAGCAGGGCATTTAGGGAAGGAGTGCTTCTCTGTAGGCACGCCCGGCTTGTACTCCCACCTGGCTCAGATTTGGTCAGCCTTGGTGAGACCAGCTCCCCTAACTCTCTGGAGCTACAGTGAGGTCAAGGCCAAGGACTTGGGGGCAACTCAGTGTTTAGGCCTTCAGGGTCTTTACGTATAAGATAATCAAACCCACCAGCAGGGGCAGAGCTGGTCTGGAGGCAGGCCCTGCTCCTCTGGGGCGGGAGTACATGAACATGGCCTTCGACTACCTTCTCCTTGGGTCTCAGTGTTGTTTTCACACTGTTTCTTCTAATCCCTCCTCATTGTGGCTTTAATAATCCATGTTGACATAGTGTCTGCAAACTCATCTGAAGTGTGCTGCTTTTGGAGAACGTCATTAGGGAGGAACTCTGCCTCCCGGTGTGGATGTGAGAAGTCTGGGGAAGAATGGGTTAGATTAATTTTGTGAGCTATAAAATGCAGTGCATCTATTGGAGGCGGTTAAGGCCTCTCCCCTCCACTTTGCTTCTCTTCTCTTGCTGCTGGAAACCGTTTGGGGATGTGAGCCCCCTTCTAGAGGGTGGCTGCCTTGGCATGAGGGGACCAAGAGGGTTCTGATGACAGGAATGCCAAAGGTGCCTTGGGTCACCTCCCGTAGCATGAGTCGCTCATCTCAGTGAATGCAGGCACAGCAGGCAGAGAGCCAGAGAAGGGCCGGGCTGACTTCTGCAGGGTAGTTCACTCTATTGCCCAGATTTATCCAAATCCTTCAGTGGGATCTGGACAGCCCTCAAGAATGCGCCACTGGCTGGTAGAAACATATGAACAAAATAGGGTTCTATAGAAGAGGTGGCCCAGAGATTGCCCAGAAGCGGTTGTGATCAGCTCTTTGAAAGGTGGGTTGGGCTCCATATCAACGGACCAAAAAGGGAAAACGCCAGCCCCCACAATGGGGTCCTGTCTTTCTTTGCAGGCCCCGCCCCTAGCACGGTACCTGGAAGAACCTACAGCTCTGGTGCTGAACAGATGAAGACCGTGTAACATGGTAGATGATACTACAGACTTGGAAACAGAAAACTTGACTTAAGTCTAGCAATAGCTGTTTGTCATTGGTCAAATTAATTGGCCCGCTTTTCAGTCTCAAATTTTGCACCTATAAAATGAGGATGATAGTGATTTTGACTTCACAAGTTTATGGGAAGATCACTCATTCCTTTGTCGATCTGTTCATTCATTCAACACACTTGATAGTGTGTGAAAGTACCTTGCAATCGCTAATGTTGCATAGGAAAATGTATTCTTATTTACATTAACTTCAGCAGTGGGTTTGATGGAGGAATCCCCCCCACCCACCCACCTTCCTTCGCATTGAATGGAGTTTTTACCTTGCTATCATGTTTTATACTTTTAGCAACATTTCTTACTTTGGACCTTTTCACTTAAGTTCTGAAGTTAGAAGAGCAAAGCTTTGCCTTTCAAAGTCAGGGACCCCCCCCACCCCATTCCTATTTTCCAGACCTTGTCCCACCCAAGGGCTCAGCAGATTTATATTTAGCGAGTCCTTTGCTCTCTTTCTAAGACCCAGAGGCCTGGAACCCCCAGAATGAGGGTGGCATGGCCCTGAGCACTGGAGGGTGGCCAGCAGGCACAGATTTTCTGGGTGCCTGTGGCTCACAAACCAGCAGGAGAAATAGGTAGCGTAGCAGGACCAGGACACAGTTCATCACCCAGGTGCAGTTCATAGAGCATCACACCGTCTAGCGCTGGGGAGCGACTGTGTTCCAGGGATCAGGAAGGCATCACGGAAGAAGTGGCATTAGAACTGATGCCACTCTGGTGATGGCCACAGAGCATTTCAGAGCCATGAGATGGGGCACAGGCATGAAAGAGCATGTGTGAGGGGACACAAAGCACCTCGTGGTGGCCAGGGGACACTGTGATTGGGAGACTGCATCCTGCAAGGAGGAGTGGAAGGAAGGGGCTGGGGGACTGAACCAAGAAGGGTTACCGAATGCCAGGCAGAGGAGTGTGAACTTGGCCGACTGAGAACCGGGGAGCCATTGCAGGCTGCAGCATTAGTTCTTAGTGTTGGAAAAATCACTTTCTTAGGCTACTGGGAGGGGCCAGCCTGTTTATTGGAGGCCGGAATCGCTCAGATGACAGGCACTGAGCCTGAGCAGGGCAGAGGCAGGCATTGCTGGGTGGGAAAAGATGGGGAGGGGTAACTCAGAGTGCCGAGCTCTGCTGGAGTTTCCCTCGTGTGGCCTTGCCGTGGTCACTACACGGAGACCCCCTTGGCTGCTAGTCCTGGAGGCTGGGGCTCTGAGTGCCCGTCACCCCGTCTAGGGAGTGACATGCTGGGCCCTGTTCCTTGGTCTTTATGGCTCCCACCCCAATAAGAGTTCCTGGCTGTAAATCTCCAGAGGGTCACAGACCCCACTGCAGTGGCCACAGTGGCTCAGATGCTTCTGGGGATGTCTGGAGTCATCCTCCCCTCACCTGCCACTGTTGATCCTCTCTGGCCAGGGGCTGCTGGGGAGGCAGAGTTATATGACTGAACACCAGTGGCCGCTGGTCAGGCCTCTGCGGGCTCTGAGCGCCTTTTCCAGCCCCCAGGATCCCCGGGACTGCCTTGTCTCCTCTCTTCTCCCTGCCGCTGCCACCCCTCACCTGCTCAGTCCCTTGTATCCCCCAGCCTAGCTGAGAGGCAAGTGCCATCTGCCCAGCTCCCCGCCCCTCCTTACTCATCATCTGCTGCTCTATGGGGCCCATATGACAACAAAGCAGCAGAAGAGGGCTCCTGTTGTCTGACCCCTCCCTTTGTCCCCCAGAAGCCCCTTTGTCCTATTATTCTCCTCATTCCTGAGAGGGACTGCAGGCTCTCCCTCCCTCAAGCCCTGCCATTCTCTGGGGTTACACTTGGGCCTCTAGAAGGCTGCTGGGCAGGACAGAGTTTGTCCCGCTTTGTCCAGCCTGAGACTCTGTATTCAGCCCTGACCATCCCCTCCCAACAAGGCCTGAGCCTCAGGCAGGGATGGAGCCCCGCCATGTTCCCCTGAAGCACTTTGCATGGCTTCCAGAAGCGAGGTGCCACATGGGACGCATGGCTTAGGGGGAAATGATCCGGGTTTCCAGAAGGGGAGGGCCCCTGGAGGCCGGAACACTTCCCCCATGCCAGTGTCTGGAAGGTTTGGCTCGGGGGTGCCCTTGTATAGCACCATCTCCGGGAGCTTTGGCCTGGCATGTTTTCAAAAAGATGCTGACGGAGGCACACTAAACTCCTTTCAAGAATAAATCTTGCCTTGTGTGAAGCCTGAGCTGGTGTGGGGTGGGAAGAGAGCCGGAAGGTGAGTGGGCATGGGGTGGGCTCTGGAGCAGGTGGCCTGGGTCTGAATGCAGGCCCTGGTGTGTGTGACCTTGGGCAATGCACTTCACCCAGCAGAGCTTTAGCGACCTCGACTCTCAAGTGGGGCTAGTCAGGGCACTTGCCTCTGTGGGATGCATGGAGTGAATGAGATGGTGCAGGTAAAGTACCCAACCCGGCCTAGCCTATCGATTAACACTGCAAGTGCTTCATACATGGAGGCATGGGAAAAGAAGGCAATTGCTAACAGCCATCTTAGCATGGGACCAGCTTCAAGTAGAGAATGGGATACTCGGCCCACCCCAGAGGGAGTGGGGGGCTAAGAGGAGGTGAGGGTAACTGGTTTCACCCATGGCACAGCCACTGCAGGCCTCTCCGCCAGTGTTTCCTTTTTTGCCTCTTTGCATTCATAATATATTTGCCAGTCTTTAGGTAACAGGAGTTTCATTCCCTGACTCGACCCCACAACGATGTCGATTTACCTTCATTTAGCAGATGAAGAGCCTGAGGCTGTACCCTGCGCAGCCATTTGCCCAAGGTGGATTTGGTTTAATGGAGGGCTCCAGGGGGCACAGCTGATGGGCTCCCAGGCCCAGTGCAGGCAGGCAGCGGCTAGATATCCCCCCCGGGTGTTGGCGAGTTCCCCGGTGCGACTGACCTCACGACTCGGCTGTGAGCCCTTGTGCAGACGCTCCCCATCACCCGGCCCACCCCCAGGCCTCTTTCAGGTTCTGTCACTCAACGAACAATTACCGTGACTGCCTCGCTGGCTGTGACTGGGACCTGGGGACATGGCAATAAATCGTATGTGATCTGTGCCCTGGAGGGGCTCCCAGCTGTGTGGAGAGGTGGGCATGACAGAGGCAGGGGGATGATTGGCAAACACAATATTGGTGGGGAAGTGTGTCAGTTCAGGGCAGCGGGGTGAGTTCCTAATGTTTGGGGCATGCAGCTCATGCAACTATTTTGGGCTGAGAATAGCTTTGTGATTTTAAAAGTTTGGGGTGACTGCCTGCTCTATAGGAGACCTGGATCATTGAACTCTGTCCTCTGCCTCCACGCCCAGTGCCCACCCCACCCAGACCAGGGGTGGCCCCTCTGGGAAGGCGGAGCTCCATAGAGGACTTTGGAAGGCCTTGGGGAACCTGGGCGTGATAGTAGAACCCTAATTCTAGCCCTGACAGTGCCCCGCTGACTGTGCCCCACCCTTACTTGTAGCACGTGTCCAAATCCTGTATATAAAATATGCGTGGGATCCAGACCTCATCTTGCCTTCAAAACTCAGAACTCTTAATCCATTGCCCACATTTCTGCTCTGTCTCATCAGAACCTTGTTTCTCCATAGCAGGAGTCCTTCCTTCTCCCCTTATATTTTAATTCGATAGGACCTTTTGCCGATCGAACCCCAGTCTTGTAACCAGAGCCCTTTGTGAGCAGACCTAGAAACCCCTCTTTGTGGAATTACCACAGAGACAGGATAACATATAAAGCCCAGGCACCTTGCTAACTTCCCTGTGCCTGAAAGCCCTCGGCTGAGTGTGTGTGAAGCTGCAGCCTTTCAGTGTGCTCATGCATTGCTGCCTGTCTTCCACGTTTCAGACTAAGCTCCCACAGCTCTGCTTAAGTGGAACTTGAGATTTCATTACCCTAAGGCCCCACAGGAACAGGATTCTGTTATAAGGCTATGCCTATCAATTTCTCTTCTCATTCGTTTAAAAAATGTATTCCGAAACAAAGACCTCTGAGCCCCTGCACGGCCATGCCTCATGCTGGGGGCAAGAGTCACCAAAATGAATAGGGTATGGCCGTTAGCCTTGAGTTGGTCATAGTCCTGTGATGATGATTGGCAGATAGATGGACAATTAAAATCATCCCAGGTCGTGAGTGCTGGGATAGGGGTCAGCACGGACTGAGGGCTGTGGGAAGACAGTGGAATCTATACCACTGTGTGGGGGGTGGTCAGGGAAAGCTACGAAAGAGGAAGTGACACCTGGGCTGAACCTTGGAGGAAGCACAGGAATTCACCAGGCAAAGAGGGATGAAAAGACATAAAAGGCAGTGCATGTAAAGGCACCAAGGCAGGTGTGCTGTGGTGGGTGTGCTGGACCATGGGGTGTGTGTGTGTGTGTGTGTGTGTGTGTGTGTGTGTGTGTGTGTGTACGTACACGTGTACGCACACATGCATCATGGGAAAGCCAAAGGAAAGGGCCTGGCAAGAGAGGAGCTGGATGGGCTGGATCATGAAAGGGCCTGTGTGTGATGTTAAGGAGCTTGGAGTTTATCCTGAAAGCCACCGGGAGCTACTGAAAGGGGTTTTAAGCAGGGGAGTGCTGTGATCAGATTTGTGTGCTAGGAGGATCACCCTGGCAGCCCTGTGGAGGATGGATTGGAGGGACCAAAGCTGAAGTCAGGGAGATCAGTCAGGATTTTTTGGGATTTTCTCTGTGGTTTTACAAACCTGACAAGGTTGGCTGGGGTGGGCCTGGCACCCACCAGCTTAGAGAGAAAAGAAAAGCTCTGGAGGCCCCTCTGAAATGGCTTCTGACTCAGAGTTTAATTCCCCCTCAATTTGCTGATTACTCAGCCTGCCACCCCCAACCCCCGCTGCACTCCGGCCTAAAGGACCAGCCGCCCCACACTCCCAGATGCCTGCCCTCTCCCAGAAGCCTCAGAACCTGGCAGCTCTCAGCATTGAATCAGAACGGGGCGTGCTGGCCTGGGCCCCTCTGGCTCTTCACCTCTGGAATGCCAGGGCACAAGAGCCCAAACATTGTCTTTCCTCTCACACCCCGCCGGTTGTCCCCAGCGCACAGAGCAGCCATTGAGGGGCTGTCCCGGGCCATGTTAGTTACGGGCCGCGGCTTAGTCACGCTCCTCACAGCCTTTCTTCTTGGGACAAGCCTGCCTTTGTGCTGAGGGCCTTCCTCATGCAGCAGCCCAGCTCGAGGCAGCTGCAGAGCCCTCTGCCAACCCCTAACTGCACACTTCAGAGGCACCGCCAGTGGAAACCAAAGCTCTGCATGAGAGCTGCGTCCTGTGGCGTGGAGGGCTGCTGGGAGAGCCCTCCTGCCCTCTCCACACAAGGTGCCCCAGCCTCCGTCTGCAGGTGCTGCAGGCGCAAGGCCCAGCGCTGCCCTGTTCCTTTGACCCGTAGGCTTCAGGAAGCCTGGAGAGGCTATGCAAGCCCTCTCCCTCCCCCACACCCTCTCCTGTGTGAAAGCCCACCAGCCTCTGCAGAAGCAATTTCCAAAACACAGCTTGCAGTCCCAGTGCACCCCTGGGAGTTAGCAGATCGCGTGCATGTATTGAGCACCTACTGTGTAAACCTGCCTTGGGCTCGGTGCACTTGTATGTATGTGGTGGGGTCTCATTGTAGGCTGGGCTGTGTAGTAGTTCAGAGTACAGCCTCTGAACACAGACTGCTCCAAACTGTGGCTTCTCTACTTACCAACTGTGTGACATTGGGAAAGTTGCTTGGCCTCCTTTTACCACACTTGCTGCATCTGTCAAATGGGGATATTACAGCATCTACCTCACTAGATTGGCGTGAGGATTAAATGAGATAATACATAAAGCGTTTAGCTGAGTGCCTAACACATAGTAGGGATTCAGTACATAGCTGCTGCTCCTCTTCCTCTCCTATGTTGCTGTTGTTATTGGATCTTTACTACTGCTCAGGGGACAGTGTTATTCCCATTGTATAGGTGAGGAAGCCGAGGCCCCGGAAAGTTAAATAACTTGCCTGATGTCACACAGCCAGCCAGTGCAGAGCTCAGATTTGAACCCAGCTCTGTCCAGTGTTGTTGTAACACAGCCGGCCCCTTTGGTAAATAGAGCCCAGCAGTGTGGGGCTCCTGACCCTGGAGCAGTGGGCATGGTGAACCCTCCTGTTGCATCTAAGCGCTCTTTTTCTGCTTTTCCAGATTTCTGAGCCTGGACATGAGGGTTGGTAGAGCTCAGGGATGGCAAAGGTTGTGACACTTGGGCAGAAGCTGCAGCTGCAGAGCTCGGTGGCTGGAAATAAGTGATGGTGCCATTTGAGCACCTGCCGGAAACGGGGCAGGAGGAACGGTAACTGCAGGGAGCACAGGCTGGTGCCAGGATGTGGAGATGACGCCTCCGGAGGCCCCGGCCTCCCTCCCGCCCAGGTGCTAGGAGCCGTCCCAGGCGCCAGCGAGGAGCCCTGCTGCTCAGGGGCATGGCCAAACCTTTCTTCCGACTCCAGAAGTTTCTCCGCCGAACACAGTTCCTGCTGCTCTTCCTCACGGCCGCCTACTTGATGACCGGCAGCCTGCTGCTGCTGCAGCGGGCCCGAGTGGCCCTGCCACAGGGTCCCCGGGCACCTGGCCCCCTGCAGGCCTTACCTGTGGCCGCCATGGCACTGGGCGTGGGCCTGCTGGACAGCAGAGCCCTGCAGGACCCCCATGTCAGCCCGGAGCTGCTGCTTGATGTGGACGTGCTGCGGAGCCCCCTGGCCCGGCCCCGGCCTGGACCCCACTGGCTCCGGAGCCGCAACTCGGAGCTGCGCCAGCTGCGGCGCCGCTGGTTCCACCACTTCATGGGGGACCCCCAGGGGCCACCTGTCCTGGGCCCCGAAGCCCCACGGCCAGCCGCCAGCAGCCGAGGTAGGTGCTCAGCCCTGGTTCCCCTGGCATGTGTGGGAGCTGCTCCCAGGAGCCCTGCTGGGGTCACAGGATCGGTGGCCCCTTTCTCTGGCCCTTGCGGCAGCCTGAGATGTAGGCACTGCAGGCCCATGGCCTTCCGATGGGTTCTTCCCTTCTGCTGTGCAGAACACAGAAAGGGCCTGCGATGGGAAGCCCTTCGGAGCTTTGCTCACTCACCAGCCAGACGTCCATATGACTCAAGGCCACAATGTGTGAGCAGGTCACTTAGAGCCTAGGCTTTGGGTTCAGACAGTCCTGGGCTTGACTCTTGGCTTAGCCACAAACTTGTTGGGTGACCTTGGACATGTCATTTAATTTCTCCGGGTCCCTCTGAAATGGAGGTAGGGATACCTACCCAAGGGTTACTGTGAGGATTAAATGTGATGATATAGAGCAGTGGTTCACAAAGCAGGGTCCTAGACCTGCGGCTTCAGCATTACCAGGGAGCTTGTTGTAAGTGCAGATTCCCAGGTCCTCTAAGACTGGTGATCCTGAGCTCTGGGGAAGGGGCCACAGTCTGTGCAAACACATTCTCCAGGTAAGTTTGATGCACACCTAAGCTGACACCTCCCGGGCTAGAGGACCGAGTGTATTACTTGGCATTCAGTAACTGGCAGCTATTATGATTTAATAAAAATAGCTAACTCATATAGCATTTACTAGGTAGCTGTAAATGTGCAATTTACAGGCACTATTATTATGTTCCAGTTTTCCAGATGAAGAAACTAAGGCATAGAGAAGTTAAGTAAATTCGCAGGATTATTCTCTTGGTTTGGGTTCCTAGAAGCAAACCCTGAAACCAGGATTCCTGTGCACGTGGTATATTGAGAATGCGATCCCAGGAGCACTGCTAGGGAGTGGGGAGTGAGACAGGGAAGAGAAGACAGCCCATGAAGGGTATGTGATAGAGCAGATGGGAACTTGGAGTGAGGGTACAGCACACATGTCAGGGTGTAGCCTGGAAGCAGGGCGGCCTGGGGGACATGGGCGGGGCACCAGCCAGACCCACCATAGTCACACTGCTGAGATCCCAACATCGGACAGCCTGGCTCCAGGGCGGGGCTCTTTGCATTGAGTGATACTGACTGTGCAGGGCCCAGTAACGGAGCCTGCTTGGGATGAGCACCCGGGAAGCTGTTGGGTAGTGCCTGAGCTCAGTAAGCATCTCAGCACACCTGTCACCACCCCTTTGGTCCTGTACCCTAAATCACAGGGGGACTTGCTCTCGTAACTACAAAAAGTGTGGTTGGAACATAGATAGAGCACTCAGTGGCAGGATATCAAAAGAGATGAGGCAAGAAGCTCATCTTAAAGCTTGGGCTTTGGGTTCAGACAGACCCTGGTTCGAATCTTAGCTCCGGCTTCGATCAGGGAAGGATATGAGGGCCGGGCCGAGGAATTTGGCTTTAGTCTGAGGATAATGAGGAGGTTCCAGAGAAAGGAGCCCAAGCTTCCCTCTCCCTAGGCAGGTGAGTCTAGTAGCCCAGTAAAATGTAAACCGAAGGACTGTGCATTCTTGGCTGCATAGAAGTTTCTTCTGAAATCATCTAGGTCAAAGCCCACGCTATGGGATTCCACAGCAAGGCTTTCATGTAAGAAATGAGGGAGCGAGGAGGAGCTGATTCTGCAGCCCTTTTTATGCAGGTGTGATTTCTGTAAACTCTCCTCAACACACTCAGAATCTGGGCCTCTATGTAGGTTGCAGCCATGCAACTCATTTAGACTAAAGTGTAAATGACTGAGATGGTCAACATGGATTTCTTAAGAAGAAGCCATAGAGAGAGAACAAGTTTTGAAAACAGACCTGCATTCTTCTCTTGGTATTGCCAGTTATTGCCTCTGTGAGCCTCAATTCTTTTCCTTATTGCTCGCAGTCCTTAATACTTACTGAGGATCCATGTCTGAGTCTCCATGTATGCTATTCACTGTGCACTTGAGGATGACAGTCTGGTGGCAGAAACAGACATGTACCCAAATGATTACCACACACCATGACTGAGGCATGATGGAGGTGCGTGCAAAGGACTTTGGGCTCGTTAGACAGACGTGACTAGTTCTTTATAACCTGACTTCAGGATGACTGGCCAGCAGAGAGGAGGGCTCAGGGTAACCTAATGATAGCCCTGTGCATGTAAAGTATGTATGTCCAGGAGAATCAGTGGGTACACCTTTATTTTAAGTCATCTCTGGTGACTTAAAAAAGTGATGCAAGGGGCTTCAGTGAAGGCTGAAGGACTGTGGTTAGATAAACAGGACTGAGGGCCAACCGTTATGCACCAGTATGATCTTATCATTTGTTAAAATACTGGAATAGTTACTGCTCTGAGACCTTGGGGTGCCCTCTACACTCTGGCTGCCCTCCTCGGTGACCCCCCCCAACCTCCCCATGACCCAGCAAGTGAATAGTTAACGCCCCCCTGTACAGCAGGCACATCAGGTTACAGGTCTAGTGATGAATGGTGGCAATTCTGAATGGTCAGTGCCCCCCATAGGCTATTAAATAGTTTAAATTTCAGGAAGAATTTGCACTCCGAGAGGCTACGGTGTCACATGGCTGGAGATCTTCAGAGAAAGAGAGGAGAGGTAGGGAACTGACCCGAAAATCCTCTCAGAGCCCCCTTTCCCTCTTGGGACTCGGCGGGCCCTGCACAGCCCGGCAGGCCTCCCCGGTGGAGAGTAGCTCACAGTCCAGCCCTCGGGACAGCTGCTGGGGCTGCAGACAAAGAGGGCGTCTCTTTGCGGCGCGGGCAGCCCGCCATCCCCCTGAAAGGGGGTTCTGCAAGCCGCGGGAGCTGCAGGAGGTTCCATCAATCACTGCGCATTTCATTATACCTTGGACAACATCCATAATGGAATAAAATGTCAGTAAGTTTACTAGGGGAAAAAATAGTAACTTCTCCATAGCCAGTTTGTTTTTTATTGATAGTAATTTCCAAAGACATTCCAATATCTCCAAAGCCATCATTAATAGTCTCACAGCATGTCCATTTTGATGTGCAAATGAACAGATGTGGAGTCACAGACAATAATGCATTGCCTCCATTTCAGCCGAAAGTGATAAATCCGCCTCGGAATGTGTCCCAGCCTATCCCGCGGAAGTCCTTTTCTTTCTGCACATTCTCGCCTCTGTCAGGGAGTTAGAAAAGCCATTCGTTAATTTTCCCAGAAGAAAGGGCTCACCTCCTCCTCACAGACAGAGAGGTGGGCCATCTGTGTCTCAGGCCCTTGCTGCAAACTGAGACGGGGCCAGCCAGGCGTGAGCTTCCCATCCAGACTGGTCACTGCAACAAATGGCCAGCTGCTAACTGGTTAGCCACTCATCGCTTTCTGAAGAACCCAAGCCTGACGGCTTAAAACCATTTCTTCCTCTCTCTCTCTCATTGTTAATTATTCAGCTGATATTTACTGATCCAGCCTCACACCAGATCCCAGGTTAGTAGAGTGTGGGGTCAGAATAACAATAGCTGTTACTTGTTTGAACATCCTGTTATGTGCCAAGCATTGTTCTGTGTAAATGTACATTTGCTATCTCATTTAATTTCAAATATTTGAGCCCCAGGGAAGTAAAGTAATTTTAAAATGTTTATTATTAATAATGATATATTAACAATAAAAACAATCACAACTGAGCATGTCCTATATGCCATGCCTTGCATTAGACACTTTCTGTGTGTTACGGAATTCTCACCACCACCCCATGAATTTCATGGGAGCTTAGCCCCATTTTACAGATGGGAGAGCTGAGACTTGGGGGGTGGAGGAAAGCTGCACATGCCAAGCCACACAGCCAGATAGTGGTGGAGCCTAGATTTGAATCTAAGTAAGCCCATTCCCAAAGGCTGTTCACCCCACGACCCCCAGAAACGTGCACATGCCAGTCTCAGTTTTCAGGGGTCTTGAGCCCAGGCACCTTTACAACCTTTATGTTAATTTCCCACCAACAGTGATAAATGTTTAACAACCCCTGAGCTTGTGTTTTAGATGTTTAATTGAAAGCTGTAATAGAATTTCTTCTTCGCTGAGCAACACATGAAAAATTTCTGAAATATTACTTTTCTTTTCCTAAGTAGGTAGGCTAAGGAGAGCAATTTATCTTCGCTGACCTGGCTGAAAGCATGCTGCAGTGGTCCAGTCTGCTCTTGGTAGTTCTGAGACTTTACATAAAGAGAGAGAGAAGCTTGCAGGGCTGGGAGGCCTGGGGGTCCCGAATGGAGGGGTGTATTGTGTGCCTATGGACAAGCACTTTGTGCTGATGGGCTCCCAAGAGGTTCATTGCCTGGAAGGGGCCAAGACCCTTTGTTAGACACTAAAGGTGACCGTTGCTCCCTCTGTGGCCCCAGTGCTTTCCAATCGGAGGTCTCCGGATCCTCCAGCCATTCCTGGCATGGTGGAGAGCCCAGTCATCGGCCTTCGTGGTCACCTTCCTCTGTTTTGCCTTTCCTAAACTAGGGCCCTGGGAATCGCATATTGATGTCGTCAGTAGGACCATCCCCGTCTTGCATCTGGCCTCTCGGACCCTATCCTTGCACCCTTAGAGGATATCAGTGTAATTTTTAGAGGCTGTAACTCGCTGTGGACAAGTAGGTGTAGATGTTGACGTTGCGCCTGACCAGTAAGGTGAAGGTGTGGCCACTGCCCCTTAACCAGCCTTAAGTCATGTTGCAGAGACAGGACCAACAGGTATCAAAGATTTTGACTAATAACAGTAAATGATAGGATTCGGGTGACAAGTGTTTCAGATACAAAATGTAAGAATCCAGAGAAAAGAGAGGCCGTAATGGGCTGGAGTGGTCAGGATTATAAGCCATCAAGGACAGGTAGGAAGCAGAGAGTGGACCTAAGAGAGGGAGCAGGGACACGTGCAAACGTGGGGCAGGAGAAATGCGCTGGGGCTGGGGGAGGCAAGTGGGGTAGCATTTATCTGTTTGGCAGCTGAGGAAACGGAGCACATAATGTTACAGTGATTTAGCCAAGGTCAGAGGTGGAATTAAGTGTGGCATTCGCAGACAGAATCCCTCCCCAGTTCGGGCCCTGGAAATGAAGCCTGGCAGACCCGCTCCTCCCAACCTGAGCTCCTGCTCTGGTCAAGTCCTTGTCAGGAATAAAAACAAGCCTCACCCACCGGCAGGGAGCCCCCAGACTGGTAGACCAGGAGGTCACTCTTCACCACAGAGCCATGTGGGAGCCGGCAGGCTTTGGGGAAGCCTTGGGTGTGTTACTTCCCAGAGACAGCCTATTTTCCAAGGGCTTCAGTGTGCTGTACAGGTGCCATTCCAGACATCCAGGAGCTGTGTGCAGACTGCTAGGGGAGCTGTGCAACGTCTTTATCTCGGGTCCCTGATCCAGATCTCGGCACAGCTATTGTGGGTGTGCATTCACAGCTAAGGACCATGTGACGGTGTGTTTGCAAACTCCCAATGCGCAGTTCACTCAAAACGCTGTGGTGCCCGGGACATTTACATGCCTAATGCACTTGCTTTGTGCTTGACTTGTCTGTGCATCTTTGGGAGACACCTCCCTCTCTCGGGGTGACAGCAGGGCCGTTACTCCCATTGGCATGTGCATGGTTGAATCAGCACCGCTACTGCTTCATGGAGTCATGTCCCCCAATGCCCACTTCCAGGGATGTGCCTGAGATGCCTGTACTGGTGAGGGCTCAGCACTCAGTCCTACTGAGTCCCACGCAGGATAGCTTTTTTACACACCAACAGACACTGCTTACACACCTCCAGCGATGGGGGCTTGCTCTCTCCTGGAATGGCAGGTTTTTGCTTTTTAAATAGCCCTTTCTGTTTGCAAGATCTTCATATTAGCTAAGATCAGCGTTTCCACAATTAATTTCTTCCCTCTGCATCACAAGATGACAGAACCTGCCTCTCCAAGCCTAGGAAGATGGGGAGGAGGAGGGGCCAGGGGAAGTAATTAAACCAGCCAGAGATGCTGAGTTGGGGTTGGTAGGAGAAAGTGGTACCCAGACTAACACCAGAATCCTGGCAGGTTGTCTAGGGGTACAGTGGGCCATTCACTAAGAAAAGGGACAGGGACAGAACAAGGTGCAAGTGTTCAGAGGCACTGTGGGTAGGTTGGACAGCAGCCTTGTCCCCTGGGCTTCTCTAAGAGGTACCCTTGGCCAGGAAGGGCTGGGTATTACTTTGGCATCTCCTAAGGGTGGGCAAACGATTAGAACCCGTTTCTCTCTGGGGCCTCTGAGTCTCTGCTGTGCTCCCTGCCTATAGGCACGTATGTTGGATGCTTCAGTGACGATGGCCAGGAGAGAACTCTGAAGGGGGCCGTGTTTTTTGACTTGAGAAAGATGACCATCTCCCACTGCCAGGATGCCTGTGCTGAGCGGTAAGTGCGGGGCCCTGGACCATGGACTCCACGGGAAATAAGGGCAAGAGACAGTCCCCAGAAGGAGGTGATACTTCGGCTGCCAGTCGGCTGTCAGAGTATAATTAATTAGAGCTCCATTGATCAGGTCCCAGATGTCCAAAAGAAGGAAAGTTTATTGATGAGATGGCAGGTGTATGGAAAAAGCTCTGGGCTCGGTGTCAGGAGACCAGGGTTCTAGTCCAGCTGTGCCAGGGACTCACCATGTGACTGAGGTGTAAGTCCTTTTCCTTCCCTGGGCCCCAGTTTACATATATGTTTAAAATAGAGTAAAGGGCTTTATCCCAGATTTCTCTAGGGACTTTTCTAGCTCTGTAGGAAAAGTTTATTTTTATCTTGTGTTTATAATAAGATTTGCTTTTTCTGATACTATCAGCTCACCCCATTAGTTGGCAGACACTAGTCAGATGCCAGGGAATGTTCCTACCATTAAAGCACTCACAATTCATTCTGTGTGCACGCGCGTATGTGAAAGTGTGCGCGCACACACATCCTCACACACGGCAGATGGGTAAAACAGAATCAGCAGATGGTACCCCGATTTATTTCTATCACATTAGATTCTTTCACATTTCTTGTGTCATGTAAATCTGCACCTTCAGCTAGGTCACAACTAATTATACCCATTTTATAGCTGGAGGAACTGAGGCCAGAGAAGAAAAGGACAGGGTCCCTGCTCAGGTGTGCTTTACCATCTAGGTAAAGCTAGAACTGAGACTGACACAATCTCATTTTATTCTCCTAACAGTTAAGGAAGCTGAGACTCAGAGTTGGTAAGTGCTGTTCAGGGTCACACAGCTAGCAAGAGGCCAGACGAGGACTAGGAGCTTGTGTCTGGGTTTTCCATCTGGGTTTTTATGCCTCGGTCCACTGAGATGGGAGTTTGAAAACGTTGGCCTCTTTCCATAGTTAAAATTCTATGCAATACGATGTAGGTTCCATTTTTACCTTGACCTACAGCATTACGGTTGGGTAAAGGTGGGTGAGGCACGGACTTTGAGGGAGGGAGGCTTGCAGCAGGGCCTGTCTGTAACATGCGGAGGGCAGTTGGGACCAGTGCTGTGCCGGATGGTGGCAGCTCGTGCTGGCTCACGAGGGGAAACAGTTACATGTTTAGAAATGTCATAATTCCATTACTAAACCATTGGTAGCTTGAAACCGTCTAGGGTGGGAGTATTTACACCACAAAAATTGGCAAGTGCCACCAATTAGAGCTCCTTGCCTCCCATACTAAGAACCAATTACCAGCACCCACTGTCTTAGAACCGTTGTAACCTGTTACCATGGATGGCACCTAAGGGGACAAAGCTCAGAGCTGACAAGAGGGACCAATGGGGCTGACTCAATTAATTTATCACAAAGGAATGACCCTTCCCTAGGCTTAGGCAGATGACCCTTACGTCTGGTTGAGACTGACCCGTAGGGCCAGCCACGGGCCGATGGCTGTGGCTCTGCCTCCTCCTCGACCTAAGCTCAGCTTCACACCCCCCAGCCCTCAGGCTGCCTCTCCTCTGCTGTCATTCTTTTATCCAGACCTCAGTGCGGTTAGGACCCTGGCCTTAGCCCTGGGCCCAGGGCGGGACTTACCCCAGGCCGCATTCTCCCTGCAGGTCCTACGTCTACGCCGGCTTGGAGGCCGGGGCTGAGTGCTACTGTGGGAACCGGCTCCCAGCGATGAGCGTCAGGCCGGAGGAGTGTAACCATGAATGCAAGGGGGAGAAAGGCTCCGTGTGCGGGGGTGTTGGCCGGCTGTCTGTGTACCGGGTGGAGGAGCTGCAGCCAGGCTCCAGGAAGTGTGAGTGTGCCAGCCTCTCCTAAGCTCTGTCTGCCCCCTGCCTGTGGCTCTAGTCCAAACCACTTGGGACCGAACCTGTGCCCTCCCTTCCTTACCACCTTCCATGGACAGGCTCGTTGTAGCGGGGAGTGGGGTTAGGGTCTGCCAAAGGTTGCACGAGTTCATAACTGAGGCACATCTTTCCTTGTCCCCTACAGGAGAGAAACCGATCAGGAGGCCTGGGGCCTAGGCCTAGGTATGTCTCAAACATGCTGTGTGGCCTCAGGCAGCTCACTTGCCCTCTCTGGGTTCCAGCCTATTTGGTAAAGTGCAGAGGCAGACGTAGATGTCTAGCAATGGGGTGGACCAGATAACCTGAAAGTTTCCTAGCTATAAAACACCTAGAAATGTTGGATAAAATGGAACAAACATTATTTTAAATGCATCACTGAACTGGCAAGAAAGTAAGGAAATCCCTGGCTCCAGAGACGCAGAGGGAGCTAAACATTACAGTGGTGAAATACGATTTGGAGAAGGGGCTATGCAGCTCTGGGCCCTGGTGGCCACAGGCTGAGGTTTTAGTGTCCACATGGGACAGAGAAGGAGGCTTGGGGCCAGTCAGGAGAGGGAATTAGATTGAAACCTGCATAAAGTGAGATTCAATTTCACCAAAGTATAAATCAATAAAATTTTAGATAAAAGAAAACACCACCTACCAGTTCAGGGAGAAGAAAACTTGTGTGTTTTGACCTGAGCTTCAGGTGGGAGAAAAAAAAAAATCTTCCTAAGAATTTGCAATTGCAGGCCTGCATTTGCATGAGTTTTGAGGTTCAAATTTATACAATCTGTGTGGTCCTGAAAGCATAAAAACTGGCTCTAGGCCACCTGGAGGTGCTGGCAGAGGCAAATACAAAACCTCTCTTGAGAGCTGTGCCACCCACTCAAGTATAGAGTTCCCATAAATACATTCTCACTGAAGATAAGCTTACAATTCAAATACACAACTCGGGAGGAAGTAATCAACCATAAGGGAGAGTCAGCTGAGGCTTCAGACAGCAAAATTGAACCCCTAAGAATTTTCAACAGAAAGTGCTATCAAACAGAGTTAACAGCTGAGGGGGCCCAGCTAGATAGTGTCTGAAACTCAGGTTTGTCCTCATCGTAAGATGAGAAGCCCCAGATCCGCTTAATCTAATTATAAAGGTTCCTTTATAAAGTAAATATGGTTGTGCACATTTGCACGACCATGTGGATGGCCAGGCCATCCTTTTCATGAGCAGGAGGGGCCAGGTTAGGAAGAAGTCAGAGCACGGAAGACCACCCCCCACCACTGGCAAGGGTGGGGCAGTGGGTGATGGAGGCACAGCCCAGCATCCATGGACACAACTGCCTCTGGCTGTGGACCTAGTAGCAAGGCTCCAGGAGAGCTGATGTAGATCAAGAACGGGGCAGGGCTCAAGGAGAAAGGTGTCAGATCAGAAGCTAAGACTGCAGAGGGGTGTCTGGTTTAGCTCTCCTAGCAAGGAATGAGTTCCCCAAGCCATACAGAAGCCCAGCTGTGAGAACTATGGTGAGCTTAAAAGATAACCCTGGCCACTGTCTATGAGGTCAGAGTGATGGGGAGAGTGGTTCAGTGCTCAGACCTGGCCAACAGGCTGCTTAGGTGCTTCTTGTATTCAGACAGGATGTGCTTGGGAACAAGGGCTACCGACTGGGGATGGAGACAGAGGTGTGACCCTGATAACACATTCTTTATGGATTCTCTAGTGAGACCATTAACGCAACAGATAGTCATTGAAACCTACTGTGTGCCAGGCCCTGTCCTGGACCTGTCGAGTCCTGCACTGTCATCTGGGCATCCACATGGGCTTCGTGAGGACCAAACTGCCCCACGCTGGCTTTTTGGATCTTGATTTCCCTGGGTTCAAACAACATTAGCCGCCCTGACCCCTTAACCCTGCCCCCAGCAGGACCAGATCTATATGCAGGCCCTGGGCTGCCCTGCCAGCCCCTCCTGCCTCCTCAGCCACTGACTCCTAGAGATAATTGTTTTGCTTCAGGTTGCCTTTGGTTAAGGGTCAGCTGGCCCAATCATTCGAGCCAGCCTCAGATCTTGGCTAGACCTGATGTGATGGTTAATGTTGAAAACAGTGTGATAGCTGCCCAATAGGACAGGCTGTGGAGCCCGTGCAGTGGACCTTTGCCTGCCTGCTCCCTTCTCAAGTGGATGAGCCAACAGGATCCCTGTCAAGAGGTGACCAGGTGACCGCTTAAATTTCAGCTTCTCACTAACAAGGAACATTCACAAGGAATAAGAGCCATGAATGTGCTTCCTGGGTTGGGATCAGAGGTAAGAACAGAACAGTCTATCAATGGCTTCATCTTGGAGGTGTCCTTTTGCCCTAAGTGGCCCTTGGGCTGTCACCTGGGAAGCAAGGGAGAAAGGTGTGGTTAGACTGTACGAGATGACAGCCTCGTCCCCGAAAGTCACTTGGTGACTTCTAGAGGCAGCCGATGCTGCTATCTCCAGCAGCTCTTGCATTGCTGACCTATTGGCAGGGTATGCTGTGCTCTCACGTGCCCTGTCATAGTCATTTCAGGGTCAGGGCTAGGTGTGGGGAGCACAGTGGTGACCCAGGTGCAGCCCCTCCAGGAGCCGTGTTTTGTACCTCCCTGCGGCCTGGGACTCGCTGAGACACTGATCACCTGGCTCACCTGGTGCCCTACCTGTGTTGCTTACCCTCCCTGCCACGTGCCCCCGTAGCCAGTCTCTCCAGTGTCTGTCCCACCCCAGTGCAGCTGCCTGAGGACCACGGCCCAGCTCCTCTAGCTATTTTGTTCTTTTGGGACTCAGTCATGCCACAGGAAGCAGTTCTGTGAGCCCAGCACAGACGAGCCATCACCCCCTCTTACACCAAAGCCAGGGCAGGAAGGTGGTTGTGGGAGATGCTAGGAGCTGGCACATGGGTTGCTCCTCAAAACAACTCTCGCTGCAGGGCATTACATAGGTGAGGAAATGGAAAGTCTCTTGAATTTGTGACACATCCAAGTTTCAGAAGAAGTTACCGGCAGTGCCAGGACTTGACCCCGGGCCGTTAAGACACGGCCTGGACTTTTTCCCAGCACCCGGCTGCATTCCTTCATCTGTGTCCTAATGGGTTCGTGCCCTGATGTCCAGACCACTGGTGCTGTGGTCAGTCGGATGGGCCTCCAGACCCAGGGTTTGGTACTGCATTGCAGTTTTGCATGGAGAGAGCTTCCTGACCACGGTGCTGGCTGGCGAGAGGGCTTTTGCCGCTGGCCAAGAGCTGTGACAGGCAGAGAGAGCAGGGAGAGATGCTGACCCCAGGAGCCCTGGTGTTCAGAGGAGCATGGGATGAGAACCAGGATGCCATTTAGAGAAACTCAGATCAGTCTGGAAGAAGGATGAGCAGTTTGTGCTGCAACATTCCAGGTCTGTGCAGCACCAAGGAAGCCAGCGAGGGAGCCGGACTTCCCCACCAGAAGGCTGGGAGAACAATGTGGCAAGCGGCTTCCTTTGGAACGCGGGATTGAGGAGGATTCCTGGAATTTGCTGGGAGTTCAGAATCAGCGAGAGAGCGGAACAGTGTGACCTGATGGCACAGGGAGAGAGAACGTGGCAGGATTTCAGATTTCCAAATCTTCTTTCCACACATAGGCGGAGAGGACATAGAACCTTCTAGAATATCATCTTCTTCAGGTCACCTAGTGCAGAATCTGGCACATAACGGATGCACAATCCAGATTTGTTGAAGGAAGGAAGGAAGGTTGGATAGGTGACTGGACCTGTCTCCCAAGAGCTGGTGGGAGAAGTGAGACCCAAATTCAACAGTTTCAGCCAAGTGGCCCCTTGTCAGTGACCCCGGGTGACCAGGGTTCTGGTGCCTGATTTCCCTCAGGATCTTGGCTTGACGACACCCCGTCCAGGGTGGTTCGCTTCCTCTGATTTGACATCTGCCCCCTCCTGAGAACAGTTCCACCCGTTTCAGGATCTAAAGCCACCATTTTCCTTTGTGACAGGCACCAACTACTGTGAGCACCATTTCTCACTGGAAACCCATTTTTCCCCCCAGGGAGGACCGTCACATACCGAGGGTGCTTCAGACTGCCGGAGAACATCACACACGCCTTCCCCGACTCCCTGATACAGGCCAATGTGACAGTGGAGACATGCTCTGGATTTTGTTCCCAGAAAGTAAGACCAATTATAATTCCACAGCCTCACCTTTTAACAATGTAACGTGTGGTGGTCTCAGAGAGGGGCCAGGTGCCCACGCTGGGCTGCAGATGTCTGTCCATCCACTCTCGGAGCCCGGGTGGGGGGGGGGGCAGCAGGCGATGCAGCAGACATGACCGAAGGTGCCCGCAGGGAGTCCGTTGCTAAGGCTGATGGTCCGAGGCTGGGTGGGGAATTGTCAGCAAAGATTGTCAAGTCTGAAAGGATCATGCCTTTCCTGATGTGAGCTCTTGGCACAAGTGTCACATGTTAAATTGACTTGGTTTGGAAGCAAGAAGATGCTGGCTCGAGACTTGGGGGGAGCTGATGGATTCTCTGTTATTTGTGCTGACAGTGTTGGGCCATGAACTTGACTTCTGGGGCCGTAGTCACATGTGTGTACCTTTGGCTCTTCCTGGGCTGAGGAGAGGAGTGTGACTCTGCAAAGGCTGGGCTAGATGCCAGAGGCCACTGTCTCTGTACCCCCATTAACTCTGGGCTTGCAAAAGGCCAGACCAGCGAGAGGGATATGAAGCGAGGCTGGTGAGACTAGCAGGCTGTCCACAGAGCATGGAGGTATGGGGCTGGACTCCAGCTTGCCAGATTGGTCTGGATGCTGCAGCCTAGAAATGGCCCTTGGTGGCAGTAGGCTGTGATTTGGGGTTGCTCCTATATGCTGGGGTTCAGTAGTCTTGATGGGACCATGATACCTGGCAGTGAAACAGAATGGAACAGGAGAGAGGAGGGCGTTGGTGATGATGACAATGGTAGTTAATCAACAGTAGATAACATGATCATTTATTTTGTGCCAGCTACCGTTCTGAGCCCTTTACATGTGTCAATCCATTTAATCCACCTAACAACCCTATGGAATAGGTGCTGTGATTATCTGCAGTTTGCAGGTGAGGAAACTGAGGCAGAGAACTTGGGCATTGTGCCTGAGGTCACACAGCCAGGAAGGAGGTGAGGGAGCCTGGATTTGGACTCAGTGTAGCTCCACAGCCTGCAGGTGGTTTGAAGGGCACAGGAAGCGGGCCTCAGTGAAGGCAGATGTGGTTGAACGTAAAGGAGCACACCCTCCGCGGTGCCCCCGCCCTCTCTGGGAGCTGCCCTCTGTGTGCTCCTGTGTTCTGAGCCCTTTAGAGATGCTTCCCTTGGAAGTGGGTGGAGACAACCTTTCATAAGCACTTCCCTCTTGCACACGTGCAGCCTTTGAAGTGGCTCTCTGGTCTATCCAGGATTTCCGAAGCCACTGCCAAAAACGCTTTGGGCATTGGAATCACGTGGCACAGTGCAGGGAGCCAAGAACAGTTTGTTGATTTCAGATATATGGTCTGGGGACCTCTTCTTCCCCTCTGCCCCTTGTGGAAGCTGAGCCCCCGGTAGAGACAACAGGGACACCTGCTTGTACATGCAAGGGAACAAGCCACTCTCCAGGGCTACCTTCACACCTGCAGCTCAGAGCAGGTCCCTGGAGAGCCCCCGCTGGAATCAGAGGAGCTCAGCTGGGCCAGACCAGGCTACAGGCAAGGCTCCTGTGGTCAGCAGCCAGGGAGGTACCCTCCTGTGTGCTGGGTGTGTGCCAGGCGCCTGACCACCTGTGATCTGCTTTAATCCTCCCAGCACTCCCTGCGGGAGAGTCTCTGATCCCTGCTTGCTGCAGGAGTCGATGTAGGTCCACACACTGGCCACTCTTGACATCACACCCCTGTGCTTTTATGCTGCTCCCTTCCCTCCATGTGACATTGGTGGGGAGGGGACAGGCGGACCCATGCGGCAAGGAGGAGACAGGAGAGAAGAAACAAGAGGACAAGGACAGGAAACAGGCAGCATTACCGCTGTGTGTCTTCAGTGTTTTAAATTATTTTTTAATAGGGAATATGCTCGCATGGAACACAATAAAAAGACATCAAAGGGTACAGAGGGAGAAGTCTTCCTCTCAGCCTGGTGTCTCACCCACCTAGTGTCTGTCCTTCCTTGGAGGCGGTCCATGGTCCTGACTTCCTGCGTCTACTGTCAGCGAGATTTCTACGAATATTCAAGCTGTTGTTCCTTTCCAAGTCATTATTCCGTTATAGACCTACAGGTGGTACTGAGCTACCCACACTACCCTGCACAAGACTCTTTTTTCTTGACACTCTGTCTTAGACATTGCTACATATCGGCCCGGAGAACGCTTTCTCAATCTTTCATTCCATTGCATGGATGTCCTCTCATTTATTTAACCCATCCCCTGCTGTTACACATTTAGCTTGTTTTCAGTCTTTTGCTTTAACACACTGCAGTGACTCTCCTTGTGCGTGAGTCATTTTGTTTCGGTGGATCTGGGAGATAAAATTCCTCGGAGATGTGGGGTCACAGGCTGTGTGTCCTTGTCGTGTTGGTGAACTTTGCCGATTGCCACAGCGATGTTAATTTTCCGCCCCCACCAGCGATGCCTGAGAGGAAAGCGAGGCACCCTGTGGCTCTTTGGGCTTCTTGTAGATAGCCCGGTATTCTGGGGGTGCTTCCTCTTGGGCAGCCCACAAGGGCCCAGAGAATTCTGCCTTGTGGTTACAGACACACAACTCAAAAGATTTAAAACTCTTCAGCTTCTGTTTTCAGCCTTTCTTCTTCATATTAACTGGCACAAATCCACGTGGCTGCAATTTTGCATCAGAGCAGGTGCCAAAGATACCTGCAGACGCCTGGTCTCTTATGCCCTTTAGTAACCTTGTATGTCTCCCATCGTCATGTGTTTCGAGGACAAGTTACATGCTCAGCTGTCCTTAGTGCTGCTGTGAAAGGTTCAGGTCAGAACAGAGAGGAAGGACATCCAGGGCTCTCAGACGTGACCTTTGCTGAGCCTCCCCTGTATTGTCGGTTGGGGCCGGAAGGGTGAGTATTTCCTCAGGTCCCGTTGTTCAGATGCCCAAAAGTTTGCAGCTGTGAGGAGCAGAGTCTTCATTTCCAGCTTCAAAGTTGAAAGCGGGGTCTTGGCAGGACACACATGCTGACACTTACGGAGCGGGAGGTGGGGGTTGCCAGCAGAGCCTAGAGGTCGGGGAGACCTCACCCCCACTCATGAGGTTGACCCCTGGGGAGGGGCTATGACAGAAACCCAGGTGATTCTGACACAGGGCAGGGTAAGGTCAGTGCCTGATGGGAATGCGGGAGGCTTGGAGGCGGGCTTAGGGAGGAGGACTGCAACTTGGAAAAGGCTGGAGCTAGAGGATGTGGGTCAGTGTCAACAGGTAGACAGGGGTGTGAGGAGGGTATCCCAAGACTAGGCAACTGCTGAGGGGGGAGGAAGGTGGTGGGGAGCAGCCCAGTTTGCCCAGAGTGGAGGGCTACAGGTGTGGGGTGGAAGGCGGGATAGGGACAAATTGCAATGGGCCTTGGATGCCTGCCTCAAAGTCCAAACGTTTTCAGTGGGTGAGAGGGAGCTACTGACAGCGTGGCTGGGAGGGGGCGGTATTCCCAGCACGGCACTTCACAGCTGCAGGTAGAATGCTATGCAGGCAGGTGGAGGTGTTCTCTGTGGACCCCTTTGGGAGGCAGCAGTCCTCAGTGCCACCCTCAGAGATGCCTTGGTAAAGCTGCAACAGACATTGGCCTGTGACCTGGCTCTGGAGTTAGGGACTCCAGGGAGGGCAAGGACGATGCCCCAGGTGTCACCCATTCAAGGAAAACCATTATCTACCCAATGGGGTGAGCCTTTGTCTCCCAAGCTGTCCATCCCCCTTCTCCCTGAGCTTGCCCTGTGGATATTGGTGTAACTTGGACTGAAGCCTTCTAGAGGGTCCGCCATCAGCTCTGAGCTCTGCAGCTTCTGGGGGTGGGGAGGAGGGGCTTTGCAGGGACTCTGACTTCACTCTAGAGCAGGGGTCTGCAAACTACAGCTCACGAGCCACATGCGGCTCTTTGGGTATATCCAGTCTCAAAAGTTTGCCGACCCCTGGAAGAGCCAATCCTGTCCCTCACGACAATTTAAAAATTATTCAAGAGCCATAAATATATTTTTACATAATCACCATTATGTGAATGATATCCTTTAAAAATTTTATGAATGAAACTATGATAGTTTTATTTTCATTTTCAATTTTACTTCAGAGCCACGTGTGTGTACCCAAAGAGCCGCATGTGGCTCGCGAGCCGCAGTTTGCTGACCCTTGGCGGCTCTTCCGTCTCAAAAGTTTACCGACCCCTGCTCTAGCGCAAGGTATCTCAACACTACTACTGTTGACATGTCAGGTCAGGTCGCTTTGTTTTAGTATCTCTCTGTGCATTGGAGGAGATTCAGCAGCATCCCTAGCCTCTACCTACAACACGCCAACAGCTTTTCCCCCTTTAGTGGTGACAACCCAGACTGTCCCCCAACAAGGCCAAATGTTCCCTGCAGGACGAAACTCCCCCATCCCTCGTGGAGAGCCACTGGCCTAGAGGGCCAGCTTGACTGTGTTGGCTCAGCAATGCCCACGCATGGCCCACATTCTCCTGGTGAAGTCGTCTTTTCCAACTATGTGTTGAGGATGGAGAAGCAAATTCTGCCCGTGGAGTTGAGGTCTGGTGGATGTGAGGTCAGCTGACCCAGGCCTGCATGACCAGGGACCTGTTTGCAGGAATGGTTTTCTCTCTCCTCTCCTGGATGTTGAGGGTGGGTGAGAGGGGTAAATCCAGGGATGTCTGGCTATACACTCTACTCCTGTGTGAAATGCCAGGCACTTCCTCCCCGGGAAAGCCAGTAGCCGCGAGGCTGCAGGGCCATCCCAGTGGCAGCTTCATCCTGTCCTAATTTGGCTGAAAGACTAGCTCAGATGTTCTATGATGTAGGAATGGTTACATTAAGCCGCGGCCGTACAGTGGATTATAATACAGCCATTGAAAATGTTTTCAAAGACTTTTATGATGGAAAATGCTCACAGCAGAATGTTAAATGGGGCAGAGCTAAATCTGGGGGAGGGGGCTAGGGGCTTCATTAGGGCTGGCTGGCCAGTGGG